CCTCACTTCTCTAACATCTTTGGAGATATATTCTATTAAGGGGGTGGAGACTTTGCCAGAATGGTTGGGTAGCCCTTACATCCATTGCACAACTGACGATTTTGTTTTGCGAGAATCTGATGAATTTACCAAGTCTCCAAGCTATGCAACGCCTCACTAAATTACAAATGTGTATTAGAAAAACCAAATTTCATGGTGTGCAAGGCCACGGTTCTCCGAGATTACTTGTATTCCAGTTATTTGTACAAACGACTCCAAATGGCTCGAATTTCCGCTTTGGAATTAATCAGGCCCGGATCACTTGATAATTTTTGGTAACTTTTTTAAAAAATAAAATTTATGTAGATTATCCTAATTTATTTTTATGAACATTTTAATCTAAAAATATTTAAATTTCGATAAGTAATTAAAAATCATACAAATACATAGATATTTTATAAAGTTTTAAGCTAAATTTGATTTAAATAATTTTCTTAAATAATTTTCTTAAATAATTTTAGAGTTAGATTTAATTTTGTGCCGTCAAATGTTTTTCTTTACCATTAGATTTGATTTCATTTGATATAGCCGTTAGATTATAAAGAAAAAACAAAAACAAAAAATGTTTGAAATATGACAGCTTGGTGGATCTAGAATAATCTTCACTAATTAATAAAACACTCATTGTCAACCAAAATCCTATGAAATTACTAGTTTAACCCTCTAATTAAAACAGAATATGAATAAAAAATATGGGGCAAAAATGTAATTTCAGACAACCAAATTTTTTTGTTTTTTTTTTTTTTTTCAAAGTCTCACCTATATGTAATCCTAACATATCTTTAATTAAAAAAAAATGTAAAAAAAAAAAAAAAAAACTTCTCACTCCCACATTCTCTATCACTGTCTTCCTCTCCTTCTATTTCAATAAAAAAAAAAAAAAAAAAAATCTCACACACTTTGTGTGCCTATATGCTAGTTTAAATTAAGCTTACATCGTAAAATAATCTAGCCAGAAGATACAGTTTCTCTCTAAAGCTTATTTCAGCCCAATAATAAGAAAATCAAGCAAATTCTCTTAGACAACTAGAGACATGCAAATTGATTTCAACGGTGACAAAGAGAAAAAAACGAAAACGATGACTTAGACCTGGTTTGGTACTGAGGTGATTCTGAAAAAAGCTGCTATCAAAAAAAGCTGGGAGCTGTTTTTGTGTTTGGTAAACACTCAGCTTCAACTTTTTTTCACAGTTTTGGATGAAAAAAAGCCAAAAACAAGAAGCTGCAAAACCCAGCTTTGAAAAATCGGCTTTTTTTCACATCTGTTTTACATAAAAGTTTACCAAACACTCTAATACTGTTTTTTTTTTTCAAAAGCACTTTTACACAAAAGTTTACCAAACACTTTACTGCTTTATTTCACAGCTGCTTATTCTCACAGCACAGCAGAAGCAACTTTTTTTCAAAGCACAACAATACCAAACTAGCCCTTACTCTCTCTTCCTTCCACACAATGTGACCACTCTACATACTTTTGTTATTTAATTTTTTTCTTAGTTTCTCTCCAATCAAATTTGGACAGCTAGCATCAAATTGCTTGCTTTTTGTAAAAAGCCATAGGCTGTCAATCCTAAAATATTGATTTTTCTCATAAAAAATGATGGGATGTCAGGCTGAAAATGTCATTACTATTAAGTATTGGTGCAACCGTGCAAGTCCATCTTTATGCGTCCTAGTGTGCCTTTTTCACATCCTTTGACACCTTTATTTCTCTTTAAATTCAACATAAATTAATATGATTTCTAAAAAAATATTTTGTAAATTATTATGAACCACCCATATTGGCATTAGAATTTTCTCTTTATTATGAACCACCCAAATTGGCATCAGAATTTTCTCTATGAACGGCCCACATTGGCATCAGAATTTTCTCTATGAACCACCCACGTTGATATCAAAAACTTCTCTTTATTACGAACCATCCAACCCACGTAGGGATTTTTACTTTTATTTTTTAAAAACTAGATATAATCATTCAAAATGTCTTAAATTATATGGCATATATGCTTAATGTGTTTTTAAAATTTGGACTTGTTGGATACTCTTTTTGTATTTTATCATTATTTTATTATTTTATCCATGAATTTCATACAAGTATAATTTTTTGTAAGTGTCAATATACACTTATTTACAATATATACAAAAAATTTACTAAAATCCGCATAAGCGCCTAAACGTTAGACCCCAGCCTGCTGCCCGACTAGCGCCTAACGTTTTTTTTAGAACTAAGCATCTTATAAAACAAAAAAAAATTCAAGGATGGAAATCAAACGGGGCAACCTGAGGTCCTTATTAAAGCAGTACCTTATGCTACCATTTGTGGTTCTCTCTTTAAAATTGCGGCGGCAAATCTTTAGCAATAAGTGTCAATCTCATTGTGCAATAGTGATAAAACTAGCAATAGTGCCCGCACGTTGCTGCGGGTCTTAAAACTACTGGATATAAAAGAAGAAAACAGGCGGTACAAACTTGTAACAGATAGTTTGTAATTAACAGGTTTTTAGTATGTTCATGCTATTTAAACACATAAAATATAATAAGAAAAAGAAGCAGAGTGTTGATAGAAAGTGATACACTAAAACTTCAACACAGTCGACTATTACAAATATATAAATTAACAAAATGCAAATCAAAACTAACCAATTCAATTAGATAATACTGCAGATTTCATAGGTATTTGTTAAGGTGTAACGAAAAACATCTTTGCTTACCAGCATAGAATATATATTAAGGTATACTTTACAACATTTGGTTATCGGCAGTAGAAACACAAAACACTCTTCAGTAAAAAGCATTTGAGCATCTAGAAAAGTCATTCTAATCCATGTAATTTTAGACTTAAAACTTTTTAATGCATATTTCGAATATGTATAAATTGTTATATTTTATATGATCAAATTTTAATCTAATTTAATCAGAAAATTCTAATCTAATTTGATATAATATACATGTCCCCAAGGATTGATCATATTATCAATTATCAAATCACATTCTCTATTTCTCTCTCTAACATTTTTCTACTCAGTTTCCAACTCATTTCAAACTTATTCAAAGGGCCAATTCAGTCTACTTCTCTATATGCTGCTGGGTTTTCCTGTGCGAGCTTAAAGCAGCTAGCTTACCACCAAAGTTCAAATCTTTACCAAAATCCCAACACAATTCTCTCTCTCTCTCTCTCTCAACATTTTCCACTCAGTTTCCAACTCATTCAAATGCAAAGGAAAGCTGAATCTGCATGCAGTAGCTAAAGCTCAAATCTTTACCAAGTAATTTTCTCTTTCTTCATCTAATTATATTTCAAAATATGAAGCTTTACCCTTTCAATTTCTTCTTCTTCTTATCATTTCTTCCAAAAAAATACAAATCCATTTTAATCCAACAATTATCAATGCATATGCAAACTGGTTCCTTGAAAACCATTAAAGTAGAGTTGGAAAAAATGGGTCAGTCATGACGAAATTTAAGAAGTCACTAAAACGAAAGCTCATACAGATAACAAAGTTCAAATGTTGTGCAAATAATCGTAAATGTGGAAAAGTGTGAAATTGCAAAACCTCCTTGTATTCCATGTATCCAATGACTGCAAAAATAATAATAAAACAAAGATCGATCTCATGCACTAAAAAAACAACAAACAAATATCAGAGCAGCATTAACATAATAACAACGACATACCAGGGGCACCAGCGGAAGTGGCAGATACTAAAAAAACAACAAACAAATAGGAAAAAAGAAGTAAGCAGTCAATCTTAATTTCCAAAAAAATCTATAAAATAAATAAATATATAAATAAATAAAAAGAGAGGAGAGAAGAAAGACAAACATCCACAGTCGGCCACAAAAGGAGAGGAGACGTTGGAAGCAGCGGGGAGGGAGGCGGCTCTTGTGATGTTCAAAACGACATAAAACGATCACTGCTCTTGAAGACCACAACTAACCCAAAACAAAATTATTACAGTTTCATCCAAACTAACAAAATTACAGAATAAAAACTGAAAGACAGTAGTTATGAATCACACCTCAGCTGTATAAAATTTATTTCCCAACAATCTAAAGCCGGCGCTCAAACAGAGAAGAAAACATGTAACAGATTCGGCCAACATTTGCAAATCCCAGACAAAGACGAACGCAAAAACTGCAAAATATTTGCCCCCCGATCGCAACTCTAGAAATAGAGACCAATTTTATGAGGATGGACAAAACACCCACAACTCCAGGTTTAAAAAGATGCAAAACCCTCCTCAAATCAGAGACCTGAAATAAGATCCCTTAAAACACGAAAAGCAGGAACTTTCCCCCAATATTTTTCGATGCAGAGACCACAATATTTAAGAAGAATAAACAATCGCAGAAGAACACAGCTAGAATAAGGTAGGAATCAGAAAAGGAGCAGAAGAAACAAAGGGCTAAACGCAGAAGAGGACCCTCGAACTCGAAGCCGGGATATCAACGATGACGGACGCGTGGAAAGAATGGGGAAAACCGTCTTTCCACTGTACAAAGAGGACGATAAAGCGGGTGAGCGAGGAGAAATCAAGGGGCAAAAATGTCTGCCCACTGGTCATCCACAATACCACCTTATTGAGTTTTAGCATATAGAGATTTTGCCTTGTCTTGAAGAGCAATGCACATTGCACATAAATATTTTCACATAATGCATCGGGCCAATAATATTATGTTAAGTGAGAAGAAGCTTTTGTATTTTTTTTATTTTTAATTTTGCTATTATTACAGAGAGAAAGTTCGAACCCGGGATGCATGGGTAGAAACCTAACACCCTATCCACTAAAATACCACATGGAGGGGCTTTTGTATCAAACATATTTACAAAATGTCACAATAACGACATATCCCCTATCTGTAATTATTATTTTGGATGGTCATAATAACGTCATCTCTCACAGTCAGACCCGGAACAATTTATACCACCCGTGTATTCATATGGCAGCTAGAGATTATATAATGAAGGAATTAATGAACAAGAAACGAACGTGGCGAAGAGATAGTCACAATATGCTCATATTTGTCACAATATCATTCATAGCTTCCAAAACCCTCAAAATCAAAGGACCCATTAAAACGATGGCCGCTCCTTCGACCACATCTTCCAAAACCCTCATGTTAATGGTTTTAAGCTTTTTTTGCACAGAATTAAGGCTAGTTTCTGGCGATCTCGGCACAGCAACTGCATACGGTCCTCCTTATATGCGTGAGTAAACAACTTATTCATCTCAACGCAATGATTACTGTATTGTTGTGTGATTGCCTTGATCAAAATTAGGGGGTTTAAATGGTTTTAAGTGAGTAATTCATGTCTAGTTAGTTGCAGGTTGAATAGGGTATTGAGAATTAGTTGGACCATATCAATGACAATTAGCTTTTCTTATGCCATTATTGTAATTGTTGTGCAGCAACAAAATGCTTTGGGAGTAGGCCAGACCAGTTCCCTCCGATGTACCTTTTTGTGGCGGTGAGTGAAGGGTTGTGGGACGGTGGTTCTGCGTGTGGAAGGCTCTATAAAATTAGGTGCCTGAGTGGACCCAATATGCCCTGCAAAGGTGGTGCTACTGTGGAGGTGAAGGTGGTGGACCATTGCCGTCAATCTCCTTGCCCTTCTACCATAGCCATGTCAACCGATGCTTTTGCAGCCATCTCACACTCGCCTTCTACCCAAATCAACATCGAATTCATCCAGTAAATATCTACCTAAATTTTCCACTCCCATATACTTCTACTGTTGCTTTCCTTATATCTATATACGTATAAATATATGTGTACACACACACACACACACTAAATTTGTCACATCCCGACCCGGGACGGATCACTTCCCGGGCCCGCTCCACCACCGTAGCACGATATTGTCCGCTTTGGGCTTACCATTCCCTACTCACGAGCAACTTCCCAGTGGGTCACCCATCATGGGATTGCTCTAACCCCCTTCTCGCTTAACTTCGGAGTTCCTACGAAACCCGAAGCCAGTGAGCTCCCAAAAGGCCTCATGCTAGGTAGGGATGAGAATATACATTTAAGGATCACTCCCCTGGGCGATGTGGGATGTCACATACCACCCCCCTTAGGGACCCGACGTCCTCGTCGGCACACACGCGGCCAGGGTTAGGCTCTGATACCAATTGTCACATCCCGACCCGGGACGGATCACTTCCCGGGCCCGCTCCACCACCGTAGCACGATATTGTCCGTTTTGGGCTTACCATTCCCTCACGGTTTTGTTTTTGGGAACTCACGAGCAACTTCCCAGTGGGTCACCCATCATGGGATTGCTCTAACCCCCTTCTCGCTTAACTTCGGAGCTCCTACGAAACCCGAAGCCAGTGAGCTCCCAAAAGGCCTCATGCTAGGTAGGGATGAGAATATACATTTAAGGATCACCATCATGGGATTGCTCTAACCCCCTTCTCACTTAACTTCGGAGTTCCTACGAAACCCGAAGCCAGTGAGCTCCCAAAAGGTCTCATGCTAGGTAGGGATGAGAATATACATTTAAGGATCACTCCCCTGGACGATGTGGGATGTTACAAAATTATGTCTTCCACATGTACCAAAAAATACGTACAAATATAAAGATGTTATTAATCACCCTAATTTTTTTCATAAATGTTATTCCTCTCACTAAATTATGTCTTCCACATATACCAAAAAATAATATTTCCATAAATAATGTATATAGGTAGATTAATTTATATAAAAATAATATATATAGCTATATTAATCTGTCTTGTTTAAATTTCAAGGGATAGGTAAATTGTTTGTATTGCAATATATATAGTTATAATGTGCTAGATCAAAAATAATAATATAAGTTTTTGCGTACATTGTTATAGCTATAATGAGATAAGTAAATTATTTTTACAATTAATACTTTTATTCTAAGTAGGTACACTAACATATAGATAGGTACATTAGTTTCTATGAAAAAGGAAAATAGATACATTATTTTGTCTCTGTTTCAAGCCACAAACAACATAATATATCTATTTATATTTTGGTAAATTATTTTTACCGTAGAAACAATTTTGAACCCTAAAACAAAATTGTGGTGGTCGTTGATAAAAAGAAAAACATTTTTGAGAGAAAAAAAAAATCCTATTCAAATAATAAATTATAACATTAATGCCTTTTTTTTTGGTGTTTGGGGTGGGTGGAATCATTAATCCCCCTTTTCAATCTGCATCAAATTAGTTGTATATGTAAAATGTAATTAGCGATATTTTAGGCATTCAAAGAAAAAAAAAAACAAAATACGTGAAGTCAAATATAATTAATGAATTTACTTATGTACAGTCTATTTTCTACATTATTTTAGGACACCTTTGAACTCACTAATCCAATTAACAAGTTTTGGGAGGCATTTTACACACTAAAAAAAGTATTCAAGAATGGTCATTGTTTAAAAACAGTAAAATATGGAACAACCTATTAAAAGAAGAAGATAAAATTGTGCTAGTCTTGAGGTTGAGTTTTGACAATTTAGAATCACCATCATAGAAGCAATGTTTTGCATATTGCTCAATGTTTGAGAAAGATGTTGAAATTCAAAGAGACAACTTGATTCAACTTTGGATGGCTCAAGGACTACTCCGCCCTTCGCATGACGAAAGTAAAGATATGGAGGACATAGGCAATGAATATTTTGATATTTTATTGCAGAGCTCCTTATTTCAAGTTGCTACGATGAGTGACAATGGCATTGTTAGCAAATGCAAGATGCATGATCGTGCAAAAAGTTTATCCAAAACTGAGAGTTTGACTGGAGACTTATGTGGCATAGAGATTCGACATGTTGCTCGGGTTTCTACTAATAAACTGGGAAAATTTCCGAAAAGAAATGCTGAGAAATTGTGGTCACTGCTTTTCAATGGCGTTGAAGTTCCTACTAACATTCTTCCACGGTTCAAAGCTTTACGTGTCTTAAATTTAAGTAATGCTAATATTGAAGAATTTCCAGTTTCAGTAGGTAGGCCGAAACACTTAAGGTATCTTGACATTTCCGAAACAAGATTCAAAGCACTCCCCAAATTTATAGGCAAGCTCTATAGCCTTCAGACATTAAGAGCAGTATATTGTGCCCTTGAAGAGTTTCCAAAACAATTGCAAAACTTGATCAACCTGAGACATAATTATTTTGATGAAGATATCAAATTCCCAAAGGGCATACGACAGCTGACTTGCCTTCGAACATTACCTTACTTTTCGTTGGGTAATGACGTTGGTCGTCAGATTGAAGAGTTGGCTGGCTTGAAACAATTGAAAGGTGAATTCATTGTCGGTAATTTGGAGCACATAAAGAATGGAGAAGAAGCAAAGAAAGCTAAATTAGAGGATAAGACGAAAGTATGTCATTTGGAACTCAAATGGACAGCAGATAGATCAACAACTGACAATAACGAGGAGGAGGATGTCCTAGAAGGCCTCTGACGACATCTGGAGTTAAAGAGCTTAAGTATTGAAAACTTCATGGGCGTTAAGTTTCCATTGTGGATGATGAGTGGGTCATTACCGCTCAACAGCTTGAAGAAGATTCAATTACTTGGATGCGACAAATGTGAAGTAGTCCCATCGCTCAGTCATCTACCCAATCTTACGGAGCTTAATATTAAAGGAATAGCTCACTTGAAATATGTTGGAGCAGAGTTCTACGGTTATGGTCAGGCCCATTAAGTTTATGGGCCTCTCTCGTGGAAGTGAGTATACAAAATCGCAATGGACTATCAGGCCCATTGAGTGTGTGGGCCTCTATCGTGGAATTGTATATAGAGGATTGGAATAATCTGACATCAATTGAAATGAAATGCAGCGTGTCCCTCACCGCCTCTCTTCAGAAATTGATAATCTGGGATTGCCGTGAATTAACAAGCTTACCTGCTCTTCCACAACAATGTACCTCTATTTAGGAATTGTGGATATGGGAATGTCCAAAGCTATCAACGTTTGGTGTCAAAAGTAGGAGCGTTGAGGAGGAGGAGGAGGAGGAAAGCATTAGTCTTGGAAAACTGTGTTTATGGAGTTGCCCAAAGCCAGCGTCCTTTTGTGCCCAAAGTAGCAGAATTGACGAGGATGAGTGCATTAGTCTACATCTTCTTAAGACTTGCGCACCATGACCTTCCTTCGACAACTGAGGATTGAAAATTGTGAAAGATTAAAAAGTTGGGTGAGCAGCCATCAATTCCCACTCTCTCTTGAGACGCTGCAAATACGAGATATCCCTAATTTACAGATTCTTCCAAGTTTAGACCACTTTCATTCTCTCCGTCCTTTGTCGATTGTAGGTTTGCGAAACCTAAAATATATGCCGAAGGGGCTACAGTGGCCCACTGGCTTGAAGCAATTGTATATCGATGGGTTTTGGGAGAAGCTCGATTCCTTCCCTGATTTTCAAGTTGGATCATTAATGTATCTTACAAGTTTAGTGTTAAGGGGTTGGTCTAAGCTAAAGTCTCTGCCTCAACAAATTCAACACCTCACTTCTCTAACATCTATGGAGATATATTCTATTAAGGGGGTGGAGACTTTGCCAGAATGGTTGGGTAGCCCTTACATCCATTGCTCAACTGACGATTTTGTTTTGCGAGAATCTGATGAATTTACCAAGTCTCCAAGCTATGCAACGCCTCACCAAATTACAAATGTGTATTAGAAAAACCAAATTTCATGGTGTGCAAGGCCACGGTTGTCCGAGATTACTTGTATTCCAGTTATTTGTACAAACGACTCCAAATGGCTCGAATTTCCGCTTTGGAATTAATCCATGTAAGTTTTTCATATCCACACCTCCCATTCTCTTCTAAATGCATTTTACTGTTGACTTTTGACTTAACTATATATGTTACGTGTTTCCCAGTGGCATGTATAATTTCTTTGGGCATGCTGTGGCGTTTTTAAGGATGCTCAATTGGTGCAAACTGAGTGCAGGTACTGATGCACAAAATATTAATTCTCTCGATCTACCTTTCTTTCTCTATGATATACCTTTAAGTTACACACGAGTCGATATTGCCGATATCCTAAGCCACCTGGGAGATTAACTGATAAGGGGTTCTAACAAAAGGTCTCGGCAAAATTGTGTGTGGTACTAAATTATTAATAGAATGGTTCTTCTCATTTTCGATGTCGGACTAAAATGTGGTTGCCCCCAAATGCCAAAATAGCATACAGGAACGCTGATGTTTACCTATATAATCTTTATCCGAATGTACCAGAACTAAATATGTTTAGTTTAATGGCTATTGGGATGTTTAAAAATAAGGTTTTAGCCAAGGGAAAGAGATACTCTCCGGATCTCTCCCACCAAGGCTATCGGATCAAGTGATCTGGATCTTTCAAATTTCATCAAACGGCTCACCTGTTCTGGCCACTTAAATGCTATGATAATTTTTGGTCGTTGGATGAAATTTGAAAGGCCCAGATCACTTGATAATTTTTGGTAACTTTTTAAAAAATAAAATTTATGTAGATTATCCTCATTTATTTTTATGAACATTTTAATCTAAAAATATTTAAATTTCGATAAGTAAATAAAAATCATACAAATACATAGATATTTTATAAAGTTTTAAGTTAAATTTGATTTAAATAATTTTCTTAAATTATTTTAGAGTTAGATTTAATTTTGTGCCGTCAAATCTTTTTCTTTACCATTAGATTTGATTTCATTTGATCATAGCCATTAGATTATAAAGAAAAAACAAAAACAAAAAATGTTTGAAATATGACAGCTTGGTGGATCTAGAATAATCTCCAGTAACTAATAAAACACTCATTGTCAACTAAAATCCTATAAAATTACCCGTTTAACCCTCTAATTAAAACAGAATATGAATAAAAAATATGGGGCAAAAATGTAATTTCAGACAACCAAATTTTGTTGTTGTTTTTTTTTCTTTTCAAAGCCTCACCTACATGTAATTTTAACATATCTCTAATTAAAAAAAAATGTAAAAAAAAAAAAAAAAAAAAAAAAAAACTTCTCACTCCCACATTCTCTATCACTCTCTTCCTCTCCTTCTATTTCAAAAAAAAAAAAAAAAAAAAAATCTCACACACTTTGTGTGCCTATATGCTAGTTTAAATTAAGCCATCCAAATTGGGCATCCGAATTTTCTTTATGTTGATATAAAAAAATTCTGTTAATTACGACCATCCAAATAAAACAAAAAAATATTCATAGCTTCCATTGTGGTTCTCTTAAAATTGCGACGGTAAATCTTTATCAATATCATTCATAGCTTCCAAAACCCTCAAAATCAAAAGACCCATTAAAATGATGGCCGCTCCTTCGACCACATTTTCCAAAACCCTCATGTTAATGGTTTTAAGCTTTTTTTGCACAGAATTAAGGCTAGTTTCTGGCGATCTCGGCACAGCAACTGCATACGGTCCTCCTTATATGCGTGAGTAAACAACTTATTCATCTCAACGCAATGATTACTGTATTGTTGTGTGATTGCCTTGATCACAATTAGGGGGTTTAAATGGTTTTAAGTGAGTAATTCATGTCTAGTTAGTTGCAGGTTGAATAGGGTATTGAGAATTAGTTGGACCATATCAATGACAATTAGCTTTTCTTATGCCATTATTGTAATTGTTGTGCAGCAACAAAATGCTTTGGGAGTAGGCCAGACCAGTTCCCTCCGATGTACCTTTTTGTGGCGGTGAGTGAAGGGTTGTGGGACGGTGGTTCTGCGTGTGGAAGGCTCTATAAAATTAGGTGCCTGAGTGGACCTAATATGCAGTGGCGGATCCAGGATTTTAAACTCGGGGGGTCCCAATAATAAAGGTTAAAAAAAAATTCCATCCAAATTTCAATTATAAAATGAGTATACAAACATAAAACACATCAACAATCATATCAATAATAGACTAAAAATCTCCACCAATATCTAATATAATTTAATTGAGATTAGATTAGAATACCAAAAAACTTACTTGAATTTGGAACCAAATAGTGGTGGCTTGGAGAATTTAAACAAGTGGAGGTATAATATTGGAGTAATGTAATTATAATATGGGATTGGGTGGGATTAGAAATTTAGGGTTTTGGGTGAATATAAGAAAGATGGGGGATTAGGGGGAAAAGCAGTGGAAGGCACGGGTAAAGAAGAAGTGAAAGGGACGACAGGATGTGGGGCTAGACTTTCAAAAATAATATGTAATCATGTTGCAAAGGTGGACCAATTGCAACCGTTGATTTCATTGGTTTAATTAAAAAAAAAAAAAAAAAAAAAAGGGCCAAAACACTGCGTTTTGGACCCTTTTTTTTAATGCCCTGTTTTCTTTCTTCTCCCCTGTTTTCTTCTTCTCCGTTGCAAACTGCAACCTGTTGCTGCAGCAACACAGACAATCTGCACAGCAGCACAGGCCTCGTGTTCGAGTACGAGGGGTCCTCCGGAAAATTTCTAGCAACATTTTAGGATGGCCGAGGGGTCCTGGGACCTCCCAGGACCCTCTGTAGATCCGTCCCTGCTAATATGCCCTGCAAGGATGGTGCTACTGTGGAGGTGAAGGTGGTGGATCTTTGCCGTCAATCTCCTTGCCCTTCTACTATAGCCATGTCAACCGATGCTTTTGCAGCCATCTCAAACTCATCTTCTACACGAAACAACATCGAATATGTCCAGTAAGTATCTATACTTCTAATGTTGGTTTCCTTATATCTATATACGTGTAAATATATGTGTATATATATATACACACTAATATACATGTCGATGGTTTGATAAGTGCAGGATATGAAATCAGCTGAACCAGTTCTATGCTGATCACATACAGCTGAGGATATTTCTCAAAGAACTCTCTCCGGCAGCCAACGCTTCTAAATCTCAAAACTTATATAATAATGGTCGATAATACTTTCAACTGTATTAAATAGGATGTTTTTTCATATGTTTAATCTTTATTGTTGCCTTGTTGGTACTGAAATCTGTTAAAATTGAAGTGGTTTTTCTAGAATGACTTCCCACATACCCAACAGCTTATATTAATTCCTTGTTTGTGGCTGTCTTGGAAACCCACATGTTTTCATGGTGAGATGGTATATTAATTCAAAAAATGTGTTAAAATGATAAACCCACATGTTTAATAGGAAACCCACATGTTTTCATGGTGAGATGGTATATTAATTCAAAAAAAGTGGTAAAATGATAAACCCAAATGTTTAATAGGAAACCCACATTAAAAAATGATAACATGTGGATTTGACTAATTATATACCTATTCCAAAGCTAGTGTTTTGGAATAGGTATATTAATTCCTTTATGCTTCGGTTTTCCTTCCACACAATAGTTTTCAATTGCATTGATAACTAGCTGTTGCTTATCCTTTTGAGTTAGTTTTTTCATCTTTCCTTTTGGCTGTACTGTTCATGCTCTAGGTGAGAGTGTGTAACTTGTAAGCTTATTTCATCGAGTTCCATTCTTTCTCTTCACTGTTGGTTGTAAGTTTGGTGTCTACACATGTCTTAAGTCTCAAATTTATAGCTTTTGAACAATTAATTCGAAAACAGAAGGGTCCTGGGTTTGTGAATTTCGAGTCTTGATTTGTCATACAATAGCTTGTTGATTACTTATGCTGATACTAGTTCCTCTTATTCTTCCTTCCCTCAACTTACGGCATTGAAATTGTCTTCTGGAAAGTTGAGAACATTTCCTGATTTCTTGAGAAATCAAGCAAAATTAAGCATTTTGGACCTTTCAGCAAACCTGATTCATGGTGAAATAACCAACTGGATTTGGAAGTTGAGTAGTCTTAGTCAACTAAATCCTTCTTGTAAGTCTCCTGGTAAATCTACTAGGTCCTGTGGTGCTGGCATATCAAATTGAGCTTTCTCAACTGATTCCGATGGCTGGATTGGCAGCAAAGAATCCAGACCAACTCCAACCAATTCTCTCTGTGAAAAAAGGGAAGCATGTTGTATTTCCATCCTCCATTGCATTGGTGGTTAAGATGGCAATGGTGGCATGTCTTCCATATTGACCACAGTAGCTTCAGGGGCCAGGACTGATCTAGGAAGGGTAGAATCTAATGGTTCCAGTGTTTGCTTCATAACATCAAGTTCCTGGCCTAATGGTTCCGAGTCAAAAATTAATCACATACTAACTTACCATTTTATTCCATAAATCACCTATGTATAAGCAATATGGTATCAAACTCTGACATTTTTAAGCTTTAGTTAACCTTAACAACCATTAATCTTCTTTTCTTGGTAAACACCCTAAAACTTGAAAACTACGAAAGCATTAAGACGATAAGGGGATCAAATTTCATAATCTACTCATTTCAGTGCATTCAACAAGTAGTCAACTTCTAATCCATGAATCTATGTTTACTTGGATGAATCAAAATTTGCCATGTAAAATTGAGTTTTGATGATTTCATTCTTAGTTTAAGGTTCGGGTGAACATGTAAGCCTTAATTAGAGCTTAACCTTCAATTCTAACTGTAGCACATGCAAATTTCTTTACTTGATACTTGATCTTAAAACATAAACATTAATGAAATGCAGAACACAGAATCAATAGTATCATCCAATACGGCGAGATTAAGTACATCAGTGTTAAAACAACGGAAGGATTACAATTACAATACTACAAAATCCAATTTCAGAGAAAACCCCAATTCCAATCCGAATTACATTAGTGTTAAAGACCGAGATTAACTACATCAAAACTACAAAATCCAACGACAAATTAAAACCCTAATCTTACAATTTCAGAGAAACCTCCAATTCCAATCCCAATTTGAATCTAAAATTAAAACCCTAATTTTATAAAGTGCAAACATATTCAAGAGATTGACTTACCATGAGAGAAGACGAAGTCATAATGGTTGTGGTGGAGGTGAGATCGTGAGAGAGATTGGAGAGGAGGAGGAGTGGACGGCCGGCAACTGAGAGAGACGGAGTGAGAAAAGTGAGAATCTGAATAATTCAATTCGGATTGTGATTTTCACACATCCTTACCTACTTTTCCACATCCGTCCATATTTTGTAATATTTAATTTGTATTCTATTATTTAATCTTTTATATATACCCTTTTCTATTTAATCTTTCATTAATTACCATAAAAAAAGGAGAAAGGGTATATATGAAAGATTAAATAGTAGGATACCAATTAAGTATTAAAAAGTAAGAAAAGGTGTGGAAAAGGTAGTTAAGGGTGTGTGAAAATCACAACCCTTCTCAAATAAGCATCGAGTGGTAACTAAGCACCAATAGGAATCCACTCCGGTGCGACCAAGTGCTTGTGCACTCAGATAAGCAAAAGAGTGTGGAAAAAGTAGTTAAGGGTGTGTGAAAATCATAACTCTTCTCAGATAAGCATCGAGTGGTAACTAAGCACCAATAGGGATCCACTCCGGTGCGACCAAGTGCTTGTGAACTCAGATAAGCACCAATAGAAACAAACCACGTGGACGACGATTTTAATTGAAAACTGATTCGGTACGGTTTGGTATCAAACATAAAACCAAAATCGAACTGATCTTGTACCCCATACCGAATGAACCGAAAAAAAATAGCCGACCGACCGGATTCGATTCGTTCTCGGTATTTTTTGCCAGGCCTATTTGGAACTTGTCAGATTTGCTACGCGTACGGTTCCTGCCCGTGGGTTTTGCGGCGGAGTCGTTTTGGACCTTAAACCGTTAAAACGAACCACTGTTTGGGCCATATAAAATTCATCTGGGCTTACTATAAGCCCAATGGGCAGTTGTAAAAAATCGGTAAAAGCAATTTTGCCTACAAAAAAGAAGAAAAACATTTCGATTAGGAAAAAAATATCTTTAATATTAGGAATCAATTATGTTTTTTCTTTACTTCTTATATGATTGAAGCTACAAATTAAATTTATTCACCCGAAAAATTAGAGGAAATGAACTTCACTTTTGTTTGACATTAGAAAGCAAAATGGTAAGTTTGGTAATCTAATTTCTACATTTCACATTTTTTTTTGGTAAGAGAGAAAAATGATTCTGCAACAAACTATAAATTTAAAAAAAAAAAAAAAAACTTGAAAACAACAACTATAAAAAGATACACTAACCATTTTCCACTTGACATGTGCTTTGTGCATTCTTATTAGCTTTCTCATGTCTAATGTTGTTACTAAATATTATTTTGGATTTTTTTTTGAACTGTCATATGACCTTATATCCCTTTTTAAATTTGTTATATAAACTTAAATTTTAAGCGATTTGTCATATCAAATTTTGAAAATAATTAATTTGTCATCTCATCCTAATTCCGTTACGTTAAGTTTCTATCCAAAATAAGCTATGGTCAAGGCACATGACTTATTTTCAAGGTTCTTTGGAACATTTTAACTGCCTTTATTTTTAATGAACATGATTGACAGCGTTGAATTCTCAAAGCTTGTAATTAGTTAAACTTCATGTTAGAGAGCCTAATGTACTATTTTAATAGTTCACCATAAGTTAATGAAAACTAAGTTATCGCCCACCCTAGAGTACATATATCTTTGTATAAATTAATAAACTTGTGACAAATGAGGTTAAAAGTCCAAAATAACATTCTTTTGGATGAAGAACTTAATATAATTAGTGTGAGATGACAATTAATGATTTTAGAAAATTCGTATGACTAATTGCTTAAAATTTTAGTACAAATGATAGATTAAAAATATGTATAAATTTATATGACATTTCAAAAATTTCGGCTATTATTTTATTTTCTAAGACCATCTTCAAAGGAGATGTCAAAAAGTTCACATCAGTAATAACGGTAAAAAAAAAGACATCACTAGTGTTTTCCAACTGAAAGGCCAATTCCTATGTGGCATGACATGGAATGGTAGTAGAGGAAGTTGCTGTCAAATTTGACAGCTACTTCAATTATATTTTTAGAAATTAATAATTTTTTATTCTTATCTTTTGTTTTAAAAAATACTAATTACAACTATAAAAAGTAAATAATGTAATAAATAATAGTTTACATTTGACATATCAATTGGATAACAAAATTTAAAAAAAGATCAATGTGCCACATATTTATAAGCCTTTAAATTTAAATTTTATGTGCAAAATTTGACATCTCCTTTGAAGATGCTCTAAACGGCTATATATAGGGAAATTTAGGTCGGCTTATTATTTTTTGACAGTTTTTCAGAATCATTTTTATTATTTTTTATTTGTCATACAAGTGCTATATATTGGGAAATCTAGGTCGGCTTGTGATTATGATGTCAAATACAATACATCAATAATATGGTTAAAACGACCTGTCCAAACCACCCAGCACAATCTGATGGACCATCGCCTCATTTTTACTCAAAACGATTTGGGTTAGATACGCCTTAGTGCTCATGCACAACGGCACAATGGCACAATGGTTAGGGCTGGGCATGGGTGGGTTGAGCCGCGTTAAACCTCAACCCATTAGCCGACCCATTCAATTGGGTTATCATTTGGTGGAACTTGCGTGTGACCGAACAACATTAATCACCATCTTACTCAAACTACATACATTCAGTTTGGGTTGGGTCTTTTTGCGGGTTGAAGATGGACTAATGCTTCCAAGATTTGTGACCTTGCTTGCTCATGCTTTCAAGTAATGAGCATTATCAGCATCTCATAAAGAAAAGAATGGAGTTTGAGCGAGTCTGAGTTTCTACGGGTTAACAGTTTAAAACCGACAACTAATCCATGTCTAGGTGGGTGGGCGGGTTATAACACAAATCCAAAAAGTTGATCATTAAACCCGACTCAACGTACCCCACCACATGAGTGTAGGGTAGATTGGTCGGGTTGTTTAAAAAGTACCCACACATAACATTGCCGTTAAACATTGAATAATATTTGACTACTTAACGGATGTGTGAGAGTTCCTACTCAAATTATTCGTTGCCGATTTCATTTAACTTTGTGCTAAGAATAAGAACCGTTAATATTATAAATCGTTTTATAAATATCGTCTCTGCAAAATCAATTAAAATTAAAGTCGTTTAGTCATTAAACTGTATAAAATAGATTAACGGAGTTGGTAAAAGTATTACAAACCGTTCATGTATTTGCTACAATAGATCGCCTTTGCAAAAAATCAATTAAAACTAAAGTCGTTTAGTCATCGAACTGTATAAAAACAGATGAACGGAATTGGTAAAAGTATTATGAACCGTTCATGTATTTACTACAATAGATTGACTAAAAAACTTTAATTTTCCGAACAAAACAACAATAAGAATTATTCATAAGATTCGAACCTAATACTTGGCTACTCGATGAATGTGTAAGAGTTCCTACTCAAATTGTTTGTTGCTGATTCATTGAACTTCGTGTTTATGATAAAAAAAAAAAAGCGTTCATGTTATAAATCATTCTATAAGTATTGCCTCTGCACAAAAAAAAAAAAAAAAAAACAATTAAAACTAAAGTCGTTTAGTCATCAAAATATATAAAAACAGATGATTGAAATTGGTAAAAGCTTCCGTTTGTGAATATTCCGTCCAATGTTGATTTCGGGTTTTGGCCCAGGACACTTGTTAGGCTAATTTCAATGCCCTAAATCTGTTTTTTAGCATATGTTTTGTGAAATTCCGATGTTTTAATAGCTTTGTAGTGGTTCGCCACTTAAATTTGCGATTGGCGGTGATCCCACTGTCAGATCTTCACAAAATTTTAGCATATTATTCTAGGAGAAAAAAGAGCCCTCATGAAGTTATGGATCGGAAATCCGATATACGGATCTTCTAGATTGGATTACTATGGTTGTTGACTATTCCGTTGTCCAAGTTGACCAAGGGTTGACTTTTGGTCAACAAGTTTCAAATCGTTAAATTATCATTACTAGAAACTCGGTAGAGCCTAGTGGGCCTATCTCGATTAGCAAGCTATCCTAGTTAATGTGCACCTTGGTTGACGTGCAAGTTGAGAAGAGAAGTCTTTTAACATGTTAGCTTCAACAACTCGACCAATGAAGAATCTGTTAACAAGTTAGCTTCAACAACACGACTAATGAAGAATGAAAGTTAAGATGACTATTTAGGCCTTAAAAAGAGTTTAAAACTTAAATAAAAATCTGAATCCACCCCAAAATTATTTTCTACATGTATCCTAATATTATTATTCTTCAGCCTTTTGTATGAGATAGAAGTGTTAACAGAGAAGCGAGAATCTTGTTTTTAGGTTTGTAGGCTGGTGGTGTGAGAGCATGCAAATTCTAATTGGACTCGGTCATTTGATTATAAATTCCATATGTAATTCTATACATGGTTTGCTAATTCATTTTTCATGCGCAGTGTATTGAATAGCTTGTATATAGATTAAGTACTCTTTACACCAATATTATTTTTAATTAAAGAATAAATACCACTTTAAATCCAGATTTACTATCTAAACAACCCCCACAAACTCAATTCAAAATGTAAATTTATTTTTGCACTCATTTAGTAAACAAAATCCTAAAAATCCATCTTTCTCAAATTCGTGAATTGAAACCCCCGAGGACTCTAGTTTTGTCAGGTTAATTCTAAAATGGTTTTTTGACTGAGTGACTAACATGGATTTGTAATCGTTGAAGACCTTCCAAACTTTTTTGTGATGTCTGCCTTTACCATTGTAACTTATTTTATTCTCAAAACAAAGAAAAATGACAACTTTTGAAGAGGTTTTACAAATTTATTGTTGCTTACAAATTTGGAAGAGAAGTCTTTTAACAAGTTAGCTTCAACAACACGACCAATGAAGAAGTTGTTAACAAGTTAGCTTCAACAACACGATTAATGAAGAATGAAAATTAACATGACTATTTAGGCCTTAAAAAGAGTTTAAAAACTAAATAAAAATCTGAATCCACCGAAAAATTATTTTCTACATGTATCCTAATATTATTAGTCTTCAGCCTTTTGTATGAGATAAAAGTGTTAACAGAGAAGCGAGAATCTTGTTTTTAGTCCGACACTACATCAAAAACTTTATTAAGTTAGTCCAGCTTAGTCTATTCTAAGCCAGTTCATCTTAATCTCTAAAGCTAGTCCAAAGTAACAAACACACCCTTACATTATTAATAAGCACAGGCTCCA